TTAAGGGGGTGATTGGTTAGGACTTTTAAAAATTTTGACCGTGGACTTTAAAAAACAAAAATGACTATAAAATTTTTTACTTTAAAACTAATGGCTGTGACTTTAAAAAATTTAAAAGTCATGAAATAATGGCTTGACAAATGAGAAATTTCAAAAAATGCCACTTTTCAAGTGCCACTTTACAAAAATGCCACACTTTTGAAATCTTTACAAAAATACCACTTTTTCAAAATTATTTTTTCTTTATATTATTTATATTTGGGTTAATTATGTTCTATTAGGGTTTAGTTTTGAGTGTTTAAGAGGTTTTAGGTGTCAAAACATTTTTTAGGGTTTAGAATTTTAAGATATATGTTTTATAAATCTATAATTAGTGACATTTTTGTAAATGGACACCCTTAAGTGGCATTCTTGTAAATGTACACACAAAAAGTGGTATTTTTGTAATTGTCCTTTGAAAAATTGAACGTAACTTAAACAAAAGTTAAAGAAAATGCTGTGAAAAAAATTAAGAATGGCTTTTAGTGCTGTTAATATATTAAAGTGTGATTGGAAAAAAATTAACTTTGAAAACAAATAAAAGCTCCTACAGCCTTGAAAGTTAAAACACTAATCACAGTTTCCCAGAATTGTTCTCTAAAAGCTAACAATATGATTTTCAAATTCGTGGACAACAATGTTTTTTGACGTATTCGACAAATCTTCTAAAAGAACTCGTTTCCAAGGGATTTTTTCGTCCACAAGAGCCCATTTGTAAACAAATAGTGCCTTCAAAGTCAAAGTCTTTCACCTATGCTCCATATTTTTTCTATTTATAATCAAATAATGTCTATAACTTCGTACAATTTGTTTATTTTCAGACGTCCTTCCACCCAAACTCCCTCTGTTATCTCAATTTGAGTCTCTTGATCACGACAACAATGTCCTTCCCTCAAGTGAGAACACTGTCCACCAGTCGAGTGAAAATATTGTCCCTCCAATGTCTGTAGATGTTGTCCAGCAGGTAGAAAATATTATCCACCAAATCGAAATTGTTGTCCACCAGGCAGACAATGTAATCCTCCCTAACGCAGAAGAATTGATGTCCTCCGACCTGCTGACCATCTTCTTCCTCAAATTACTGAGAGGACTAAAGCCATGCATAGTGAATTGCCTCCTGACGACAAACCAGCTGAAGATGTTTCAACAGTTTGTGGATCGGTCCAAACTGTCCCTTAGTCCGTGGACATACAAATCATGGAGGCCACTCCTGATAATATTGTCTGAGATAATAAGGAAATGTCTAATGTTGAAGAAAACATTTTTTTTAGTCTTTTCTCTTTCCTCTGCGTAATGGTATATAAATCACTCTACAAAATTCTTCCATTAAATCCCCAAATATGTATTTATTATTATTTTCGTCATAATTATAAGGAGCATTAAATGCTGCCTCTTGAGAATCTCTCGCCAAACCAATTACGTCTTGTCCTACACAGTAGTCTACATCTTCCCCGTCTCACCGCGCCAGGGGTATACCCATCGTTTTTGTATTTACCAATTTTCCATTGTGGTACTCAATAAAAGATATTTTGAATTGTGGTAGATTAAGAAACATTTTTTTCAACAAGTCGTAGATTAGACAATTTTCCCATAACAATAATGAATATATCAAAATATATTTGTAATAATTTATACATATGTTTATAAAAGGTTCTTAATAAATTAGGGAAAGAAGAAAGAGAAAAATATTTTGAGATTTATTTATTTTGATTGTTAAATCTCTCAAACGAGGCTTTAGAAAAAAAATTGAAAAACAAGAGTAAGGGGCTGATTGGCTGAAAAACTTTAAAAACTGTAAGAACTGTTAACGTGTTTTACAGTTTCAACAGCCCAATCAGACTTTGAAAGATATATTTGAGTCACTACAGTCTCTTTTTTTTGTTTTGTCTTATTTCCTTTAAAAAGTCAGATAAAAGTGGCTGTTACTTGGTCTGTAGAAAATAGTTAATCTTTTTTTTTACACTATAAACAACTAAATTATTTCCAGAATAAAAAACAATTGAACTATTTTTAAAACAATCAAATCATTAAATAAAAAACAAAAAATCAGTTTAAAAAATCTTGTTTTCAAATGTTTGTAATGCATA